GGTGCACCCCATGGCGAAATACTAGGTCTGATGAAGCCCTTATCTAGAAGGTCTTTCAACTGCTCTTTCAATTCCTTAAGCTCAGCTGGAGCCATTCTGTAAGGAGGGATAGAGATAGGCTGGGTATCTGGAAGGAGATCAATTCCAAAGTCTATTTCCCTTTCGGGAGGAACTCTAGGAAGATCTTCTGGGAACACTTTTGGAAACTCACTGACTACAGAAACTGATTCAAGAGTTGGGGATTCGGAACTAGAATCCTTAACCCGAACTAGATGATAGAGATAACCCTTAGAGATTATCTTTCTGGCATTAAGGTAAGAAATGAATCGACCCATAGGCGCTAAGCTACTACCCTTCCATTCTAAGATTGGTTCGTCTGGAAACTGAAAATGAACAATCCTAGTTCTACAATCAACTGAGGCATAACATGAATGTAACCAATCCATGCCTAGAATGACATCGAAGTCTACCATTTCTAACTCTACAAGATCTGCTGAGGTGACTTTCTGAGAGACTGTGACAGGGCAATTTCTTTATACCCGTCTAGCTATAACTGGGTCATCGACTAGAGTAGAGACTGAGAAAGGTTCTGAAAGAGTTTCTGGACTAACACTGAATTGGACTGCTATGTAAAGAGTTACAAAAGACAAAGTAGCCCCTTGATCTAACAATGCATAAACATCAAGATCAAAGACTCGTAACGTACCAGTGACTACATCAGGAGAATCTTCCTGATCTTGACGAGCCTGAAGAGCATAAAGCCTGTTTTGGTGTTGTCCGCCACCAGTACCAGAAGAGTTACCCTGCTGAGTCGGGCGACCTGCTGGTGCTGCTGAAGTTGTAGACTGAGCTCTACCATTATTTCCTCTTTGACCTTGTCTTGAAGGACAATCCTTCAATCTATGACCAGACTGGCCACACCCAAAACATCCTTCCTTACCTGCAAGGCACTCGCCCGGATGGTTCCTACTACATTTCGGGCAAGTTGGGTAGGTTTTGGTGCCTAAAACACTACCTTGAGACTTAGAGCCTGACGCCCTACCTTTCTGATCATTACGGAACCTGGGGGATGGAACACTAGCTGATGAAGGGGCTGGAGTCGAAGACTTCTGCTGAAAATGCGAGCGATTTCCACCACCCAATTTCTGTTGGGAATACTCGTAGTTACCTGTTCTTGCTTTCTTAGTCTCCTTAGCCTGTTCCCTAAGCTTATCACTCTCAACCTGTTGAGCATGAGTCATGAGCCTAGAGATGTTCATGTCTCCCAACAACATAGCATTCCTGCACTCTGTTTTCACTAAGTCTGACACTCCATAGAGAAACTTATTCATCTAAGCCCTGGAATCAGCAACCATGTGAGGAGCATACCTGGAGAGTTGGTTAAACTTGAGCCCATACTCTTGGACAGTTATGTTACCCTGCCTTAAGTTCATAAATTCCTGGGCCCTTGCTTCTCTCAACTCTATGGGGAAAAACCTGTTTAGAAAGGTTTCGCTGAAACACTCCCAAGTAATAGGAGCAACATCTGTACCCCTGTTATCCTTCCACTGAGTATACCAGATATGAGCTACATCCTTAAGTTGGTAAGATGCTAACTCAACCCGATCATTCCCAGTGACCTGCATCACCTCAAAGATCTTCTTGATCTCATCCAAGAAATTCTGGGGATCTTCACCAGTCTGCGATCCTATGAACTCTGGATGATTTATCCTAACAAAGTCACGGACCCTTGCTGCTGCTGATCCACCATTTGCATTCACAGGAGCTTGAACCCGCTGATTGTTCTGGTTAGCGACACTCTAAGCCAACATCTGAATGGCATTCCTGAATTCAGCATTCGACACTTCTTGATCTGGAACTGGAGGAGCTGCATTTGCGTTCCTGGCATTCGCATTCCTAGCATAAGCTCTACGAGGAGGCATGATCACTGAAACGTAGAACGTTAAGTTAGAATGGAATTAGATCATACCTTACGCACGATAAGAGTAACAAGAGAATGAAGATTTTTCCTAAAGACACTTTGTAGCCTCCCTCTCATTAGATGTGGTGCGCACTACACACCTATGAAAAAGACTCTACCTAGTGCGGCTTTTCAGACATCCTAGGACACTTAAACCTAATGCTCTGATACCAAGTTTGTCACGCCCCGAGCTACCCCCGAGACGCAGACACGGGACCTAGGACCACAACTGATCCCAAGCTAACCCTGCTGGTATGATCATGAGCATACTAAAGATAATAAACTGATGCGGAAGCTAATTCATAAATAAATCTGAAAAGATGGGGAATACCCATATACTATAACTGAATATATCAAATCTGAGAGTTTAATACAAAAGAAATATCAAACTCAAAACACTAAGCTGAATCTAACTATGTATGAAATAAGCCTTTAAACTGACTAGAAATGTTGGGACATGCCCCAACTAGATCTAGCAAAACTGAAACTAAAGACTAAAAGCGATAAAGATAAACATGTCACTAGTCCTCGAAGAATAAGGACTCACCACTGATATTGCTGAATTGAAGATCGAGAACCGATCTAAGCGTGATCTGGATAGTGAGAACCTGAACCTACATCACGAGAAGATGTAGCGCACGTATGCGTCAGTACTTGAAAGGTACTGAACAGGCAGGATAGAGTAAAGCTGAAAGAACATATAACTGAACAAAGCAATAAAACAATGAAATAATCTAAACATGATATAGATACTGAATACTGAGCTAACTGAATGCAATGACCAATTTATAACATGCTGACTGAATACTGAATGAACTGTAAATGTGGTCAATGCAATAGAGTCTGACTGAACTGTGGGAGCTACTAATAACCGACATAAAACCACATGAGCTAAATGTGGAGTCTGATGTATATGCCCCATCGAGAGGACCCAATATACCCTGCCAGAGATATAGAGGCATGCTGGCGTGATCACTAAACTGATGTTGCCCACAGAGGGGACTTACACCTACGTGGCTCGTAGTTCTGGGACTATATGGGTACGCTGAAACCCTCGTCCAACTCGGTATTATGCTACTCCCAATGAATTAAGTGGTTAACTAGTTATGATTGAATTTCTGTAAATACTGGATAGCTCAAAACTGAACATGTAAACTGAGAATGCAACAATTAATCTAATAATGATGCATTCATAAACTGAGACATGTAAAATTGAATACTGAAATATCTGACCTAGCATGTGTAATTCAAGAACTAAAGAAATACATAGCTAGGGTTCTGAAATTCATGCGATAAACTGAGCAATAACATGATAATCTGATTTGGAACATTTAAATAATTAATTCATGATGATTTGTTCAAATTCTAGAAACCCTAGGTCTGTTCATAATCATGGAATCAAGAATCTGACTGAATTCTAGGGACCTAATGGGCGAAAGGAACCCACTAGTGAAATCCCACATACCTGTTGACGAATTCCACGGAGAAATCTTTTGATTTCATGGCTGGAACTGAAGAAACCTCGCTGCGTTCTTGAACTAGGGTTCTTGACGTTTTTCTCCTCTCTTGCTTCTAATTTTCTAAGTTTGATTAATGATTTTGACTAAGGTAAGTTCTAGTTATGTTTCTAGGCTTAAACTGATTAAAATCTCATGATTTAGGGTTTAAACGACGTATCTTAGGGGTTAAACGAAATAGGAAAAGACCAAAAGACCCTTGAATTAGCTGCTGTCGAAGTGACTGACGGACCTGACTGGCGGTCCGTCAATCAATCGACGGTCCGTCGATTGGGTCCGTAGGTCGAGTCTGCCCGTCAGGGCTTCACTAAAATGGGCATAACTTTTTACTCGGAGGTCGGAATTTAGCAAACTCGGTGGGGTTGGAAAGATAATTCAATTATATATCTAAACATAGGTCATGGGACACATAATTCATTTTGTGATAAGTGTTATGACCATCTGAAGTTGACCCATCAGAATTTTCAGCTAACTGGTTGCTGACCCTTATCTACTGTCAGACCTACGGACCGTGGATCGAATGACGGTCCGTGCTGATCGACCGTAGTTTGTGTCAGAGGCTGGGTAAGGGAAGTCTCGATCCACGGACTGTGGTCTGATCTGCGGATCGTGGGTCTATCCGTGAGTCGGGACTTAGCCAATTTTCTGAGCTGGCTGGGGAGGGGTTGCAGTGGTGAACCACGGTCCACCAGCACGGGCCGTGTTCTGACCTACGGTCCGTGGATGGTGATCGTAAGTTGCACCTGCAACTTCTCAAAATCTGCATTTTTGTCTATTTTGAATACGGGGTGTTACAATATTGGTGGTTAATGAGATGGATGGACTCCTTATAAGACTTGGGCAATCCTCCTCCCTTTGAGCTAGTTTTTGGGGTGTGATGTAGGCCTAAACCCTAATTTTACATGGTATCAGAGCAGGGTCCATATCTCACCCAATGTTGGGCCCCTAAAATATCAAAATTGTCTATGCACTGGACGTGAGGTGGAGTGTTAAAGAATGACAAAAGTCCCACATTAATGGTTAATGAGATGGGTGGACCCCTTATAAGGCTTAGACAATCCTCCTTCCTTTGAGATAAATTTTAGGGTGTAAGTTACGTCTAAGACCTAATTTAACAAATATGAAGTTGCGTCATGTCATATCTTATCACTTCTCTCAATACTTTTTTAGCCTACCTCTACCCTTGGAGTATTCCGTCTGACCAATCTCTTGTACCTCCTCACTATGGCATCTACGCACATCCTTTTCATACTCCCAAACCATCGATCTCAGTTTTACTTCCCTCATTTTATCTGTCATAGAGGTCATTCTCACTTTTTTCCCAGATAATCTCATTTCTTATTTTGTCGCTCCTAGTACAATATAGACTGATATGGATAGTGATTCATATATTACATCTAAACCTACTTGTTTGAAGTTGAAACTTAATTATTGTTTTTGATGAAACTCGACAGATAAGTACATGATGTAATTAATTATAAGTCAATGAATCTTAATCCTATTAATTGTAATTTGTAGGAGGCTGAATATGGATTACTTGGATTTATACCTAATACATTTGCCAGTGACATTGAAGAAGAAGGTTAATAGTAATGATAATGAAGTAAGGACTGACAAAGAGGATATAATTCCATTTGACATGAGAGGGACATGGGAAGCCATGGAAGAGTGTTGTAGGTTAGGTCTGGCCAAGTCTATTGGTGTCTCCAACTTTACATGCACTAAGCTCTCTCAAATCCTACACTATGCTACCATTCCTCCTGCAGTTAACCAGGTAAATAAGTTTATTCTTCTACTTACTTTTTGTGTTTGGTAAATAAACCGAAAATATTATCTTAAAACATGCATTAATATATAAGTTGACTCAGTAGGAAAGTCATTTTTTCGAAAACATGAAATTTAAAAATACTTTTTGAAGAATATTTTTCCTCCATATCAAACACGCCCTTAGTTATAAATCACTAGGTGATAATACTTTATTCGTTTTAATTTGTTTAATTTATATGATTAAGAATATTATGTGAAAATTTGAAATTAAAGAATTGCTAGTAAAGAATAACTAGAATCCATATTTTTGAAATCGAATAAAAAGAAAAACAGGTCACATAAATTGAATACTCCTAATATTTTACAGGTGGAAATGCATGTTGCATGGAGGCAAGAGAAGATGTTAGAGTATTGCAAGGAAAAAGGAATACATGTGAGTGCATGGTCTCCACTTGGAGCTAATGGGATAACTCCTTGGGGCACCCATTCTGTTATGGAGAGCCCGGCCCTGTCCTTAAAGATATTGCCATTCACAAACACAAGAGCGTTGCTCAGGTGTAAATGCATTGATAACATTCTAAAATTTGGCATAAATTATTAGTTTCATTTCCGAATTATATTATTGATAGCTTTAAAAATATCTTTTTACTTGATTAACTAAATTTTAATACATTCCCGATCTTACAGCATGAGTGAAATACATCCCTAAATTCTCGCAAAGTTTCGAGGTGTTATCAACACTTCTCTTGGCATTTTATTAAGAGTCGTGTGCTACTAGAAGAGTTTGAGACTACTTGCTATGTCATATAACAGATTTGGGGTGTATATGAGTTTAGTTAATCAAGTAGAGGGATATTTTTAAGACTGTCAATAATTCTGGAATGAAACTAATAATTTGTGCAAAGTTTAGAAGTGTTCAATACTTTTCTCCTTATTATTTGGTCATATATACTCACACATTGAGATTAATTCCAAGAAAATCTTTACACAATATATTGACTTTATCTAATTAGCCTATGTTACAAATATTTATAGGTGGCATTAAGATGGGTATATGAGCAAGGAGCTAGCACTACAATAAATATGATATATAGCTACGAAATTATTAGCTATGACATCAAATTCGTCACTAATTGTTCACTTTTAGTGACAAAATTTACTTTTCATGCTTAAATATATGAGACACATACTTTTAGTAACGAAACATAAAAATCTGTAGCAAAGTTTCGTCTACTAAAGTTTCCCACCAAAAAATTAATTGGCGCAATTTGTTAAGTAGTGTTACTCACGAATTTAAAGTTATCGGTGACACATTATTTCGTCACTAATAATGTATCTAATTCATGACAAATTATTTTGTCTTAAAATTTATTGATTTTTTTACCCAAAAAAATTTCATCTAAAAAAATATGTTGTTACAATATCGACAAATTAGAATTCGTAGTTAAATATTATAAGTTATAGCTATAAGAATTTAGCTTTAATTATGATATTTATTTTCGTCACTAATATTATAAATAATTGGTGACAAAGTTTTTATTGTCTCTAATCAATCTGTGATTTAGTGACAACAAAAAAATTGTCACAAAATATATAAGGTGTTAAATAGCGACGATTTAAAATTTGTAATGAATGATTCAACTATTTGCTACGAAAAAAATTCATAGCTAAATATAATTTTTTTTTGCTACAATTGTTCATAATTACAAGTGACAACTTACAAAAAGAATAATCTAAGTGCTTTATAAGAAATAGACAGAGTCCTTTCGTTAATTATTAATAAAATTGTCCCTAATTAATACATTTAATAACAAAATAATTTTTGGTATATAAAATATAGTCATTAGTGACGAAATTAGATTTTGTTCAACAACGAAAGGCATATAACTTTAGAGACAATTAATATCGTCACTGATTGAAGTAAAATAACTAGCGACGATATAATGTTGTCGGTAGTAATAACTTTTTTAGTGACAAACATACTATTATCTACAAAAAAATATACTTTTTACGACAAATGACTTTTTCACAAATGTTTAAGCATTTGGGGACGATTTTTCTTTTTGTAGTTAATATAATACTTTTAGCGACGAAGCACTAAATCGTCTTTGTATAATTTTAGAGACACACATTTAGTGACGAATTATTTTTCGTCTCACAAGATTTTTAGTGACAAAATATGATTTATAAATGATGAAATTATTTGTCCCTGATAATCGAATTTGTTGTAGTGATAGGAGAGGAATGTATCCGAGAGGGAAAAGGATGTACTAGAGAGGAGAGGGATGTATCCGAGAGGCAGATAGAGATGTATCAGTGAGAGGGGATTGCTTTGATTCCTCTCTCTTTTCATCCTTTACATATTTCGTGTTTTTTTTGGAACCCCAGAATAATCCGTAATTGCTATAATCTTTGCCACAATCTATGCCCTTCGGGTGAGCACTTTGTGTGTACTACATATTCCGTGTTATTAATTGATGGGAAGTGGAAACTCTTCACCTCCTCACGCTAGATTGCTTCTCCTGGCCGTTAAATGTGTTGTTTTATAACGTTTAGCTTCTTCTTTTTTCATTAATTATTTAAAATATTTTTAAAACTTATTAACTTTCATTGTTCATAATAATTTCCTACCATTGAACTCTTCATTTACTTTAATTTGCAGGTTGTGATAGATGAAGAGTAATATAAGTAATATGGATAAATTCAGGTAAATTTATTAGTATAATTAGTAACTTGCTGAAATTAAACACTTTGAAAAAGCTTGATAAAAACTAATTGTTGTTCTAAAGTTCTTTTACTATTTATTGACTACACACAAACTACTCACGAAAAGTACTACTTTTTAAATATTATCTCTTCTATCTCAATTAAATATTTTTCTTATAAATTATATGATACTTTTTAGATTCCGCGTAGTGCGGATAAATTCACTAGTTTTAAAAATAAAGATAGTCTTTTAAATTTTGCTCATTTTATATTAAAGATGTAAGCTTATGGAATTGTTGATTTTGTAGCGGTTTTAAATCTCATAATCTTAAACTTAGGGGTGTCAATGGTACGGTTCGGTCAGTTATTTTTTTAAAATTCTATCATCCCAATTTTTGGGTATTTTATAATATATAACCAAAATTAGACTTCTTAAAATCATCCCAATCATATCGGCATCTCTTCGTTATTGGTACGGTTCGATTAATTTTCGGTTTTTTTTTTACTCTTAAAATATCACCTCAAAATATACTACTATTAATATATTTCTTTCACAAATATGTTCTTAAAGAGACACTTTAATTCTTCACCAAAAAGACAAGAATGTAAAATCTTATTGCCGTATTGCTTGATCTTAAATATTTAATAGGAGTGTTTGGATAGGTTTTGTTGTATTGTTTGATAGAGTATCTATTACAATATCTTTTATTTTTTAACCTAATTAAGTAAGAGAAAATTTTACATATAGCAAATAAAATATTGCTAATTGTATGCTATAGCAAACTTTGTAAAATTGCAGTCCGTAGCAAAATTATAGTTTGCTATGGACTTTTCTTTTTGTATATTCGCTTGTCATTTTTTATTTATTTATACATTTTGATAGTTTAAAAAAGAAAAGGGCGTTAATTTCGGTTAGAAAAAAAGGAAAAAAATCACTGAAGTCACGCATGTTCTGTTCCATTAGAATTCCCTTCCTTCTTCGTCGTCTTCAACAGTAAGAACTCCATTGTAACTCAATTCAGAAAATTGATCAAGCAATTGACGGTACTACACAAACAATCGAGATCATTGGACTGTAGAGATAGCAATAGGAGGTAATTTCATGACAAAAACATACTCTGATTTTGCTTTTTTAGGTCGAAGATGGTGTTCAACATGTATTCAAAATCAGATTTCCTTTTTAACTATCATCAATTTAAGTTGAATGTATATTGAGAGGTGTATATTTTGTTCGAAATAGAGTTTAACACTTATGATTTGTATAGTTAATTTATAATCTACAAAAATTTGTGATCTGGAAATTTTCTGGATGAACTTGTTGATTATTTTGAATTTGTGATCGGAGATTCGCTCATTTCACAGTAATATTTGTGTTCGGATTTGTATATTTGCTTAGAGTTTATACGTATAGGTTTTCAGATATGATTCAGTAAGATATGTATAATACATATATGAAACTATTATGCGTATGTTTTATACAGTTATCTTCATCATAACACTGCACTTGTATGAAATTGTATAATTGTGTATAAAGTTATAATTTGTGTATATAATTGTTTATATAGAAATGTATATGCAGAATGTGTATATAAACATTTCTATGAGTACGTATGTAATTGGAATATGTATATATGTGAATAACTGAAGTTGCTAGAATTTGTATAAATATACGTTATGTTTGTTGTTGAAATTCTTAATAGTATAAATGTATATGTATATATAACTTTTTTTTTATACAGAAATTTTGAAAATGGCTTCATTAGCTATTTTGGTTATGCATTCCGGTAGATGGGACAATGACAATTGTTACGTTGACTATACAATTGAGGGGGTGATTTTTAAAGAAAGTTCATCGTATAAGGAGTTGTATAATGTTATTGCAATGCAACTCGGTGTTGATACAAATTTGATTAAGCTGAAAATTGAGTATAGGGTTAAAGAAAGCAAAACGCCATGCTTAAAAAGTCTGCAGATGACTTCAACAAGTATCCAATTTGTATAAGCAAAATGGATAATAGTAGCAATATCACTGAACTGTGTGAAAGTTCTAATCAGGAGAATGATATGGTTACATCAATTTGTAATGATGGTATTGCTGATTTTGAGACTATGCATCTGTCAATTGGTGAATTGGTAGAGCCGTTTTGTGTCTTGGGGTCAGGGAGCTGCGATGGAGTCATTTCAGATCCTTGTAATAAGTACGTGGAGATTGACCAAGTGTATAAGAACAAAGCCACTTTGAAATCTGTGATGGAAAATTATGCAATTGAAAATAGATTTCATTATAGAACTGTGAGGTCAAATGCAATCAGGTAACTAGTTTATACAACAAATACATTAGTGTATATGGTGTTTTAGTTATTTGTATAATGATATGTTGTGTTGTATTTGTTGATGTAATTATACGCTGGAATGTATTTATGATGAATGTGAGTGGTTGATGAAAGCATCAAATATCAGCAAGTCTGGAATGTTTAGGATCCGAGCATTTAATACAAATCATACTTGTCCTTTGAAGGATAAAGTGTATTCACAAAAACGTGCAACAAGCAAGTTGATTGGTGGGATCGTTAAGCCTAAGTTTGTTGATCACAAGAGAAAATATACACCTTATGATATTCTGAGTGATGTAAAGATATATTTGGGAGTTGATGTAAATTACTCATTGGCTTGGAGGGCTAAAGAAAAGGCTCTGATTTCATTGAGGGGCACCACAGTTGCATCTTACAGCAAACTTCCAGCATACTTGTATATGATGGATATTACATATCCAGGCTCGCATATACGTCTAAAGAAAACAGACAAAAATGAATTCTTGTATCTTTTTGTTGCATTGAATAATTGTATACAAGGCTTTGATCATTGCAGACCTGTCATAGTTGTTGATGGAAGTCACCTAAGAGGACCGTATAATGGAACATTTGTGGCTGCAAGCACAATGGACGGAGCAGGTATGTTTCATTGTGTTTTTGAATGTATATTTTTTATTTTATGTTAATTTGTATGTAAATAAAAATGTAAGACATATTTTCCCACTGGCCTATGGTATCATTGATTCAGAAAATGACGCAGCTTGGTCTTGGTTTTTTGTACAACTAAGGGAGGCTTGTGGGGAAAGGAGTAATATGTGTGTAGTCTCCGATAGAAATGATAGCATCATAAAGGCAGTCACAAAAGTGTATAAAAACGTGCCACATTATGCTTGTATATGGCACTTGTGGTGTAATGTAGAGAAAAAATTTAGGAAGGCATCAAATGAGCTAAGTCCTGTGTTTTATACTATGACAAAGACTTGCAGTAAAGTTGAGTTTGATAGGTTGATGGATACTGTAGAAAAGGTTGATGTAGGTATCAAAGAGTATTTGTAGCTAGCTGGATATGATAAGTGGTCAAGGTGTCATGCAGAAACTCATCGGGGATGGGCTATGACGTCTAACATTGCAGAGAGTATAAATGTTGCATTAGTGTCTGCACGTGAATTATCAATTTTTAATTTTCTAGAAGAGGTTAGACCGATGTTTGGGAGATGGAATCATGACAACAAACACGAGGCAACCTGCACATTTAGTCCGTTGATTGGAAAATTTCAGAAGATACTGATCGAAAATGAAGCAATGAGCACACGAATGAGGGTATGTTTTATGTATATGTAGTGTTAATTAATCAATTATGAACACAGATAGAATATATATACAATTGCATAGACTTATACATATAAATAAATTTATTTGTATGAAACAGGTTGTGCCGTCAACTGAATATATATACAATGTGACTGATGATGGTAGGAGTTTTGTGTTATGTTTAAAGAATAAAACATGCAGTTGTGGAAAGTTTCAATACGAAGAAATACCATGTGAACATGCTTGGGCTGTACTAAAGCGAAAAAGTCTAGTGGCTGATGGATATTGCTCGGATTTGTATAAACCAAAGACGGTTTTGAAGATTTATGAGATACCAATTTATCCATTGCCTGATGTAGCAGAATGGGTGATACCTGAATACATAATGTATGATGAAGTCCGGCCTCCAAAATTCAAAAGACCTCTAGGAAGGCCAAAAAATAAACCTCGTTCAAAAACAAAACGTGAATTGATTGGTCTCAAAGGGAAACATACGTGTAGCACATGTGGAGTTGCAGGTCACAATAGGCGTTCATGTAGAAACAGACCCCAAGAAATTTAATAAGCTCTTTCGATTATATTTGAGTGTAAAATTCGATTTTATAGATACTTGAATGTTATTCTAAACTGGTTCTGTGTTTAAACTGTATGAGTTGGAATGTTGATGATGGAATAAAATTGTTATGTCCTATTAAATGTGATCTTTTTTATCTTCATTTTGTATTCATGCTCTTGTATATAATATGAATTATCGTTGGTGTATATATTGTACATCATATAAAGAAATTCTATATGTATAAGGTAAATTGAACATTTTATTATATTTGTATAAGCTGGATATTGAACATTGTATTCTATTTGTATTAGTTATATTGATTTTCCCTTTTTGAAACAGAAAATGTATATTCATAATGAATTAAGGGAATTAAAGATTGTATAAACTTTCGACATTTATACAGTTAATCTGTAAATATATGTTGTTAGTTAAGTGGTTTGTATACTTATACTTTATGAACATCCTATAAGCCTAACAATGTAGATGTATATATTCAACATAAATGTACTCTTAGATTTATAATGTTAGTGTATAAACAAACATTGTACAAGTTGATTTGTATAATTAAACTTTATGAACAAATTGTATAATCCTAACAAATGTGTATTTATACACTCAATATAAAACATGATTATTCAGTCCAATGACCCACAAACAACAACTTCAGTTTATCATTGTGATATGTATAAATGTAAGTTTTATCTTTCCTTTTTTTTACTTGACACAACAATAAGTGTATACATATACACAACATAAAAGATACACATAGATTTATACAGTTAATGTATAAATATACATTGTATAATTTAGTTTGCATAATTATTAAAGTGTTAAACTGCATATATAATGAAATTAACAAAAACAAGTAAGTAAAAGACTTAATCGATCAAATGAGTATATTACAATCAAAAAACTGAAAGTTCAAAACTTGAAGTTCAAAACAGTAAAGGTTGTTATGCATGTCATTTGCATATTAAAAAAAAAACCAGAAATTTAGTACTGTTCTAGGGATGTGATGAGATACCTTAACAACAATTTCCTCATCAAAATTCGAACAACATTCATAAAACCACACTTGCAAAGCAAGTGGGAAATCATACAACCTGAAATACTTCCCATCGTGTTTGATCTTAGTGTGCAAATGCAGAATCAGCAGGTCAAAAGCCTTTTTACCCCATGGGTAGTCAATGTATCTGCCTGATTCAACCAAATCAAAGTCTTTCCTATCAATAACAGTACTGGTTGGTTCTTCGGAAAGGATGAATGAATGTATATAGAGCAATATAGCAAATTTCACCGCATCATCATCATTATCCCCCAAACCTTATTATCAAACTTTTCAACCAACTGACTCTTGGTGATGGCTTTTTCGACTCCAAAATATTGAAGAATAATTTTGTTTGGTTCTTCGGTATTAAAGACAAAATCCTCCTCATTGTCTGAACATTTTAACCCAGATATTATAGCAAAGTCACGAATGGTGAATCGCAAAGTGGTGCCATTCACATGTATCAGGATTGCATCTTTTGAGATACCCTCAATTTCTCTCAAAAACATGCACCTAATCAGTTGTGCTTGAACATGACACCTACGAATACTAGATAATTGGGCAAAACATGTTGTTCCATAAAATTATTTATACTGTGAACTAGTAAGCTTTGTAGCTAATACTTTCATTACTTCAATATTTGTGTAACACTGCATGTGAGGTATGCGTGTTGGTTATCTTTTTTCTAAAAACTTAACAGCCTGAAAAAATGCATATATAATTTTACTAAAAATACACACATATACATAATTAAGACACAAGTACAGATATCAAAATGTATGAAATAGCTTTTAAATGAAAATAACATATACAAGTTTTATAAAGAAAAAATACATTATACAAACTAATTTCAACTGTATAAATGTTTATATTGTATATATAGATAAATTGTTGTACCGCTACGAATACAATAACTATTGATATTATACTTATACAAATAAATTCAAATGCATAATTGTTTACATTGTATATATAGTGAAATACAAACCATTTATGTATGTGTATAAGTTTGTGCAATTGTATATGTCTAAAGGAAGATTATACAAATAGGATCCTTATATAAATGAAAAAAACTTATACATAAAACAATGCACAAAACTGTATAAATGTTTATACTGTATATATATTATACATTATACAACCAATTTCAAATGTATAATTGTTTACCTTGTATGTATAGTTAAATAGTTCTACTTTATACACTTAACTTTGGATATTAACATAGTGACTATATAAAACTGTATAAACAAACAGTTATAAGACATGAATCAACACAGAAAATATAAGAAAAATATAAAATCGTAACATATACAAAAATAATGATTATACAAATACCTCATCATGCTCCAATAAGCTAGAAACAACAACTTCCTTTCTTTTTGCATCCTCTTCTGTATAATTAGTTGTTTTTTGTTTCCTTTTTTTACTTGACCCAGCAGCAGACTGATCTTTCTTACCTCCCTCCACAATTTTGATGTTGGATTGCTTCGATTTTGCACTCATTCCCTCCAATCTGATTGGGTTATTTTTCAATTTGGATTTGATCTCTTACATTGTGTTGGATTTGGACATTGAACCTGAAACCTCCCCAAAATCCTGAGTTAAACCCAAGGAAAAAGATGGGCGTTCAACACTATTTTCGACATGCAAGGGTATACCTCTTGTGAATCTTTTAAATGGAGATTGGGCATCCATTGTTTGAAGGAAAACTCTGTATGGATTATGAACTGATGTGAAAAATAGCTTGAAAAAACTGAAAAAAAATAGACAAAAATTTAAACTAATCGATTGAGATAAGTTTTGGCGGTGCCTAAAATTTTTGAAGGGATTTTGAAACCGATTGAGAACGTGCTGGTGGAGATTTGAAATTTCAAACTAATTTTGGGGAGAAAATTTGGGAGAAATTGAAGGAAAGAAGAGATATAAACGAGAAGAAGATATTGTATAAAAGGAAGAGAATAACGTCAACCTTTTTTTTTACTTATACAAATCGGTGGGGCCATTAATAGCAAACTTACAGAGAGTTTGCTCCTTAAAGGAAATAAATGAAACGGTAGCTACTGTATTTATTTTACATTAAAAGTTTGTCATTATGTACAATTATCCCATTAAGTAAAGGTTAATTAAAGAGCAAAGACTCAAAGTCGTCTAGTCACCAGAGGCCTGGAGTTATATTATATTTGAAAAATGTTATAAAATATATCTACATTTTAAATTTAACATATTGTTAATACATAAAATATATTTGCATACATGTAAGGTTATTCGGTTTGGTTCGAATTTTTTTTAATTTTTTTCATAAATTAAAAAGACCATCCCAATTGTTCGGAACGGTTATACACTTAAAAAAAAGTCCACAATTTTATTTAAAAAATAACATAAATCAGTTCGACACCCTACTTAAACTTATTAAACTAAAAAACTTACTACTCCCTCCGTTTCACAAAGAATGATCTAGTTTGACTTGATACGAAATTTAAGAAAATAAAGAAGACTTTTGAATCTGTGGTCCTAAATTAAAGTTATGTCAAATGTACAAAATTGCCCTTTAATCTTGTGGCCTTAAACATGTCACGTGGAAAATTAAAATTAAAATGTTACAAAAAAAAAGGTCATTCTTTTTGAAACTGACTAAAAAGGAAATGAGGTCATTCTTTGTGAAACGGAGGGAGTATATATAAACACTTTTTTAAAACAAATAAAAAAAAAAGTTAAAAACACTTAAAAATTAGAACAAGGGGAGTATATCACAAATAGACCATTGATTTTCAACCAAGCACAAGAAAAAAAAAACAAAAGTATTTACGTACCCAAGAGTTCTTTTCAAGGCAGGAAGAACAAGGTCACGATGAGTTTCCGTGCACCATAATTTAGACGTAATAAACACTTGTTCACGACTCTTAATGAGTCCGCGTTGTATCGCTTCCACCACTGCTTGGCCAAGTGCTTCCTCAGAGCCATAGACAGCGGCTGTGTCAAAGTGACGATAACCAATTTCAATGGCATCTATGAGTGTTGACACTAATTCATCATGTTGTGGTAAGGCAGGTCCTGTTCCCATCCCTATAACAGGCATTTCATGACCAGAATTCAGATTCACATTTGGCACTAACATTTGCTTCATGTCCATACCCATGATCT